CCCCGGCCCGACTGCGCCGGTGCGTGATAGCGCGGGGCTTGTTGATCCCGCTCTCGCTGAATTTCTGACCATTACCGCATACTCCCATCCGCTCCCGCGATTTTTGTGTCCGCTCCCACAAACATTCTAATATTGTATATAGTTTTCCCGCATCAGGGCGCCGCTATCAATATGTGAATGAGCGCTCGCGGTTTACTTTCACTTTCGATTTCGCGACCGCACGCACACTGTAAAGGGAGCACATATTACGATAAAATATATTTTTCAATGAGCTCAGGATCTGTTGAGGAGCAAATCCTCAAGTGTTCCACAAAACAGCTATGGTTTGCAGACATAAGAGTTGATGTGACAAATACATCTTTTGAATATACTGTGTGAACTCATTGCCCCGTTAGCTCGGAGAGCTTTATTTTCCCTCCTCAATAAGTTTTGTCAGTTGTTTTGTTTATTGGTCTGATTCTTGTTTCTTGGGTTGCATTGGTTAGTCACTCACTGTCAACTCCTGTCATGAACACGTAAAACCAGAAATGTTTTTACATGATACTCAACAGGAAGGGACATGATGCAACTATCCACATATATAATATTGTTGATAGAGACAAGTACACCCAAAGGAAAAGTACGTATTAAAAATACATATGTGTGTCTCTGCTTATAGGTGATTGTTGATACCCCGACCAGCCCCGTGACCAGTGGTTTACCTCTGTTTTTTGTCATCACAGTGACAGCCATCAAACAGGTTAGTTGTATTATGTTCTGAATATGCTCCTGTCCCTCCATCTTACTCTTTAGCTGTCACTAAAGCACTTGATATTTTATAGCCATGTGTCACTGTTTAAATAATGCTGGCCCCAGCCGAGAGTCCGGCTGACCCTGGAGTCCATCTCTCACACACAAAACAAATGATCTGGGCGCTTGTCACAACAGAGTGATCCTCTCACAGCTTTAGATGTATTGTTTTAGGATCAGCTTTTTCCACCCGCCTGCCGCAAGCTTTTTTTGAAAAGCACAATGGAAGGTGGACTTCCTTCCAGATATCTGTGGCCTCACATTGAGAGGGGCTCAGGCCTTAATTGGGCTTTGAAATAAGAGACTAGGGGACAGTGTGACTCCAGCCAACTTTGACTTCAAATGACTCAACTCCCTCAGCTCATTTGCACAGTTTCCATTATTAATACAGGCCTACTGTATGTGATGGAAACCATTACGTGTGAAATTTTCAGAGAATTGTTTTATTTCTGCATGTGAGAAGTGTATTAGACTGTCTCAATCCTCATTTGACCTTCTGCAGTTTTCTCACACACACACACACACACAAGCATACTGTTCACTCACATTCTCTGTCTCTCTCCCCAGGGTTATGAGGACTGGCTGCGGCATAAAGCAGACAAAGAGGTGAATAAGTACCCGGTGACGGTGTTAGAGGACGGCCGGTCGGTGAAGAAGGAGAGTGAGAAGATCAAGGTACCTTTTAGTTGCTGCACCCTCGCCAAGTCTCTGATTTAACAGGCACCATGGGAGCAGGGTGTGGCAAGTTGCGGTACTTCACATTTGGACAAGAAGTATGCCCATTAGGGGCGTTCACAGCCGGGAGTGTTTCCTTGCTGTATATGGAATGGAACAAATGTGTTGTACACTATAAAACAGTTAAAGGGGTCATATGATGCGATTTCAAGTTTTCCGTATATAAATATTAGGGCTGTCAACGTTAACGCATGCGATTAATTTTACAATCCTTAACGCGTTAAAATAATTTAACGCATTTAACGCAAAATTACTGTTGCTTCTCTGCTTGCGATCAGATAAATTTAAGCTGCTAAACTCCGGGATGGTTTTCAGTCCAATGATCCAGTAAGCGAATGCATTCAAACAATCTTTAAAACACGAGCTCTGTCATATTCTGTGATTGTCTCTGAAGAGCGCGAGCCCTCACATGTCACGCGCTTGTGTGAAGTACAGACTGAACGGATTGTCAACACATCCCACCGCTGTATGGCCAGATGAGATGCAAACTACGGTTTCTCGACTGGATAACCTAAGTCTCGCTAGTAAAGGTTTGATAGATGAAGACTGCAATCAAGGTAAAGACGATTGCGGTGGCGTACAGGAGTCGTATAGTAAGCACGCGTGAGTCCGTTATATTAATGCATGTATAAGTGCTCTTGACGCACTGATCGCACATTGCACCAAATACACAAAATAATGATCTTTAAAAAAGCATCATATGACCCCTTTAAGGTCACAGATGTTTGGAAGAGTTTGCAAATATGGCTAGCTGGATGTCAATTATTTGTGTTTTAGCCGATATCCACTTTTGTAACCATATACTACCGTTCAAAAGGTCAG